TCTACTGCTGCCATGCCTCCTTTCCAAAATCTTTTGCCCTCCACTTGCCCTCTCTCTGCTGCCGTCTCCGTCCTCTTGCTGCTGCCGCTGATTTGCTGATAGTTCATCACTGCCAAGATCGACAACACCGAGACAACAACAACTGGGCATCTTCAGATAAATGCCATTTTGCTGCTGGGAAAATGCCTTACCGCTCCCAAGAAAAAAAGGGCATGTTTTCAAAAGATATGTATGTGCTAATTCTGAGAATATAAGCTAGAGGTAGATCCCTTTATTGGTCAGACCCTGATAAGATAAAGGCTGTGGCTAGGACCTCCTATCTTGCTGATCCTGATAAGAAAAAGGCCGCTGGTAGGGCCTCATATTGTGCTGACCCTGGTAAGAAAAGGCTGCTGTTAAGGCCTCATATTTTGCAGATCCTCATAAGAAAAGGGCAGCTACCAAGGCAGCTTATAAAGCCAACCCTGAAAAAATGAAGGCATTGTTTCAGGAGTATCATGCCTCGCACCGTAGTGCCAGGCTGGCAGCGTTTCGGGAGTATCATGCCTCACACCGTAGTGCCAGGCTGGCAGCATTTCAGGACTATAATTCCTCACACCGTAGTGAGATGCTGGCAGCCTTTCGGGAGTATCATGCATCCCATCACAGTGCCAGGCTAAGGTATTTCAGAAAATATCACAGTCATATAAAACTAAACAGAGTGACAAAGGCTAGATACAGTTTGGCGCAGCCTAACCAGCTGACAATGAAAAGTGTTTTAGAAGTGTTAACGCCAACCTGCTAGCTGACCGTGAAGTTTTTAACAAAGTCAAGGAAGAGTTCAAGTCCCTGCATGCTGGTGTAGCAGATACACTGAGTAGAGCAGAGTTGGAACAGACTGTGTGTAGACTGTCAGTTAAAAGACTGGTTTGCAAAGCCTTACAAATACGCAGGAAACATGCAGGGTTTTTGCTGGCTAGCATTAAACTGATTAAGTCTATTACACTTAAAGAACGCAATAATTTTGGAAAGGGCTGCCACACTAGTTTGACAGAGCCCTTCTTTTATGAGGCAGCCTACCTGGATGTGAGAGAGTCCCCAATCCCTGTCAATGAGAAGGGGGAGTGTGTTGTTGCTGAAGAAGTGCCTATGGAGGCTGCCAGTAAGAATGAAGAAGGTAAAGATGCTGCCTCCAAAAGTAACCTTTCTCAGACTGGGAGTGTGGGTTGTGTTTCAGATGGGAAGGTTTCTGACAAGGGACCTGCCCAGTGTAAGATGTGGGAGTGCTCAAAGCAGTGCAAACCAATAGCTCAATTTGAGGTAAAGGCCATTGTTTGTTTTAGGGCAGCTTTTGAGCAGCCTGTGGAGAAAGTCAGGCAGGCCTTGGCGGAATGTGATATGGGTTGCCCCTACGGTCACTACACCAAATTAGTAGGTTCAGAGTCTGTGGACCTTAAAGGACACCCCATTGTTTGTTACTCTGGTGACTACTGTACTAGTACCATGAGAATACTCAGAGCAGCTTCCACTCATTTCCCTATTTTAAGGAGGTTTTTGGCCCATGTGACTTCTGCTCTGAGTGCTCACAGAATTGTGTATGATATTGACAACGCTTTGAAGAATGGTAACCACCAGAGATTGCTACAAATCACACAGGTTGAGTCCCTTCTGAGTTGTAATGTAGAACAGAACTATCAAAAGCTCGCTGCTGTTGATTGCTCAGCTCTTAGGAGGCCCAATCTAGAGGTGGAACTGGCCATTGCTCATGCAGCACTGATTACTGGGTTTGAGAAGGAAATTGATGACTTCCCACAGCATGCATGCATTTGCTGTGAGCGTCTGCATCAGAGAAAGTCAGTGTCTGTTGTTAGTCTCTCTGATGACTTTAACTCTGAGATATGGCGTGAATTGAGGGCCCATATTTTGAAGTACCCACCCACTGTTCCCGGTCAAGTGTTGTACATGTGCTACTACTGCAAGCGCAGGGTGAGAGGTGGGATAATGCCTGCACGTTGTGTCCTCAATGGTCTGCAGACTGTTCCCATTCCCCCAGAACTGGCTGCATTAGACCTACTTAGTAGACAGCTTATCCAGAGGGCAAAGTGCTACCAGACTGTTGTGAGACTAGGTACTTACACTGGTAAAGTGCCCACATACAATTCCCTGCAGGCCTGCAAAGGAACAATGTTTTTCCTTCCCTTGCCACTAAACAAGACCATAGAAACCTTAAACAAGGTTCAACAGCATACCTCTCTCCTACCAGACCCAGAGTTGTACATTATTGTCAATGGTAGGCCAACCAAGAGTAATGTTGTGTGGCGTAGTTTGGTGGATGTGAACCATGTTAGACTGCAATAAGAAAGTTGAGGTCTGTAACTGGCTTACAGAGATGTCATGAGAAATGCATTGATGAGAGCACTAAAGCACATCATTGAGGTCTCTAACAATGCAACCACAGAAATGTTGAAAAAGGTTTCCCCAGATGAGGTAGATGGGTTTCAGGCCTACACCATTAGAAACCTGGATAGCAAGCTCTCCATTGGTTCAGACTTAGAGCAGTACAGACTTATGAGCATCACAGAGGACCCTATTACCAACAAGCAGCAGCATTAGATGTGAGTGTTTTCCCTGTGCTCTTCCCTACTGGGAAGTTTGGAGAGTTCCACCCTAGGAAAGAGAAGATTTCTCCCTAGTGAGTACGTCAAATCTAGGCTGCTTAACAAGGACTCGCGTTTCCGTAAAGATGCACAATATGTGTTTTACCTTTTGTGGCAGAAGGAAATGCGACAACTCGCATCAGGTGTTTACAATTTGTTAAAGAGTACCAGGAGACAGTCCATGTCTGTTAGCTTGTTACTAGAGCAGGTGAACACCGCAGACGAGCAGCTAGAAGCACGTTTGTGCACCATGCTCCAGTCAGTCCGTGGTACCAAACAGTTCTGGTTCCTCAGACACAGTGAGCTCAAGTGCATGATAAGAGAGTGGGGCTCGCCTACCCTTTTCCTCACCTTTAGCTGTGCTGAGTATGAGTCCCCTGATATCACTGAGTTTCTTAGGAAAGTGAACAATGTTCCTCCCAGTTACAACATTGGGAAGCTGTGTGTTGAGGACCCAATCTCAGTTTCCAGGAAATTTTCCCTCAAATTCCGTGCCTTTTTCCGAAAGGTCATTTTGAAAGGTCAGGTCCTGGGTATTGTAGACCACTTTTATTGGAAGAAGGAGTATCAGAATCGTGGGGCTCCTCATTACCATGTCCTACTCTGGATTAGAGATGCACCACTCATTGATAGAGACGATCCCGAGAAGGTGCTAGACTGGATCCAGGATAGAATCACCTGCCACATTCCCGATGAACAGGGTAGCCCTGAGCTGCACAGACTAGTCACCAGATACCAGATGCACAAGTGCAGCAAGTACTGTAAGAGGCGGAAAAGGTGTGGAAAGACAGCATTCATCACCAGGTGTAGGTTCGGGTTCCCCCAGGCCAGTGTGTGAGACTGCTCAGCTCAACCCAGTCCAGGAGAGCCTGAAATCCCGTAACCGAATTTACCAGTTAGTCCGTACTCTGGCTGAAACAAGGGTGAATGACTACAACCCACTGTTATTGATGCTGTGGGAGGCTAATATAGACATTCAGTTTGTAGCCGAAGCCTCTCTAGCTCTTGCTCACTATGTCAGTGGCTATGTCACCAAGGCTGAGCGTAGCAACATGCAAGACATCTGGCAGGAAGTTAGTGAGAACAAGAGCATTTACAGTCGCCTTTTCAGCTTTGGTGTTAGAAGTTTACGGTTCAGAGAGTGTGGTCTGTATGAGGCCAGTGATCTACTGCTGGGAGACCACCTCACTGAGAAGTCTAACACAGTCAAGTGGGTAGACGTCTCCATGCCTCACAAGAGATCGCGTAGACTGAAGAACCACAAAGTGTTACAAGAAATGGCTAGGCTGAACCCAGATAATCAGAACATATTTGAGGATAATGTCCTAGATGCATTCTATCCTCAGAGACCAGCTGCCCTTGAGAATGTTTGTTTGTATGACTTTGTGGCCAACTATGAGTTTCAGGGTATAGACACCAATGGTCAGAGAGTGTACAAGAAACTTAGCAAGCCTAAACTCCCTAACCACAAAATCTTTGACCCTGAAAATGAGAATCAAACAGATTATTTCTACTCTCTAGTGTTATTAACCCTGGCGCGCCATGCGCAGCGAGTTCGGTATTACCCTCGCGCGCAGCGGCGATGGTTACAGTCTTGGGTCTGTCTGTGTGTGTGTGTGTCTGTCTGTTACTCTCAATCTCACTTCTCGAATGTCTGTTCGTCTCGCAAACGATACGACCTACCTAACGGGCAATGAAGGTCAGAAATTTCGAACGGTTTTCTCTGAAAATGCTTCGTTGCAAAGCTAGAGCGCTTCCGCCATTGTACGGCTAATGCTAGTCGGCCATTTTAATCGCTGCGGAAAATCGCATGCGCTTATATTTTCAACAGGCTCAGGTCCGCTTGCTCTGTGTATCTTGAAGGCACGAGAAGTCACAACTAAGGGCGTGTATCGACTCCCACATGCTATAGATAAGTTGTGGTATGCTCTGCTGATGAGGACCAACAAGCCTGAAACAGCTGTCCAGAGCTCCCCATCTTTTTTCTCTTGGCATCACATGGTGTATTTTGTTCATGCTATCTACTACTGTAGCTAGCCCTGTCAGACGCTACTAGCGGGAGTATACTACATACTAATAGCAGCCCAGCCCATCAATTAGCGTGCCCAGTTCGCCGAGGGTTTGCACTTAGTAATAGTGCTTTTCATTGGGTTTGTGTGTCTGTCTGTCTGTCTGTCTGTTACTTGTCATCTCACTTCTCGAGTGTTCGTTCGTCTCACAAAGGATACCACCTACTCTCCAATGAGACGTCTCAGAAAACGGTCGTCTCTTTCTCTTGCAATGACGGCTACACACTGAGTGGGCCCAGCAGTAAGCTGTGCACCAGTTCTGGAGACTGGAATAACACTCATGTCCCAAGTTGTGTTGCTGATGCCAACAGCAAAGGTAGTGTTAATATGTAGGTGCTTTGTTCCCAATATGCAAGTGGTCTTTTACAAATAGAGCTGATTTCATAATCCTCCCTCGCATGCTTCTAACCAACTATTTTTTGTTCTGTTCAGTCTTGATGCACATGTATTTGGTCTTCTCTTCATAACAATATTCCTCCTTTGCATGCTTTTAACCAACTATTTGTTTGTCTGCTCAGTCATGATGCACATCTAATTGGCCCTTTTTTCAATGAAAGGTTCACTGAATGTGGGAGCAGTTGCTGGTGGGGCAGTTGGAGCACTGGTGGTGGTTGTTCTGATTGTCCTTGCCACTGCCCTCATCTGCTGGAAACTCTCGTATGTCGTGCCACCAAACGTCCACGCAGAAATAAGGAAGCATGGGCATGCACTATCCTGGGTGTTTTTACACATCTAATTCTCAATCACACTCTCCGTGTTCCGTGTGTTTCTTTTGTTGTATAGATCGCGATGCAACAAACTGTCAGGCTATAGCAACCTGAGGCGGAGGCAACCAGGAGAGGCGGTGCACCTCTTCAGAGATGAAGGTAGCTAATCAGTCACTCTGTGCATGATCCACAACCTCTCTTAACATAATTACCCACTTTATAGCATGGAGCTACACTTTAGTGCACTTCATAGCTGACTGTAGCTAGCTGCCAAAATGTCCCGAGTTTGATTCCCGGTGTGGTTTTTCTCAATTACTTTTTTGCGTCATTAATAATTAATGATGGTGTTTTCATAAGCCATCGGTGTGCAATGATATCAAACTGAAAAGAAGAACTTCCTATCATAGCCCCATCTCTGACGCTAGGTACTACCATGCCCATCCCTAACTGTACTGTACTTAGTGATAAATTCCTGCTCTAGTCTGCACTGAGCTGAACTAATTCTTTCTCTAGATGAAGAAGCTGAAGAACCTCTCTACAGCACAAACCAAACCGACGAAGGTCCTTTTGAACTCTAACGCTGAGTGTTTGACATTCAGCTTGCCGTTATACGTGACTATTGCTCATAATCAATTTATTGTTACTGATAATCACTCCATGTCATTTTGAACAATAACCATGTGCTTTCGTGCTTGGTATATATATACCAGTGTGTTTTTGTATAATAAGCACTGTACATACAATAATGTATAATTATGTGACTCTAAATACGTGTAAAAACACATGCGAAATATTGCTTTGCTCGCCGAAAATGTGTTACTTCCAAGTCGACCAAGTATTCAAACTATGCCTATACTAAGGAGAAAGATCCCCCCTATTGGTATTATAGTGGGAAGAAAACAACTGGGGAAACAGCAGCTGGACATAAGCTCCCAGTGCATACTTTAGCAGGTTGACACATCAGGTAACAGGTGGCCTTTTCCATTTCACTTTCATGTTGCAGAGCATTAAAATTTTCTATAGCTACGCTAGAGTCAAGCTATCGAATGGATGAAAGTCTCGCCGGCTAGATCGAGGAAACAGCAGCACAATCCATGCGAGCTACGGACCCATTGCTCCCTCCCGTGCGCAACGTATACGGGCCGGGGGTTCGCTGCATGGTCGCACGATCGCAATCGATTGGGGGGTGTACGGTGGTGATAATAACTAGTGGAAATGTTGAACATTGTTGGCGAGCGGGAGCGACCCAACTTGGGATTTGCCCGCGATGTTCGAGCTGCATAACGTACGTACCGTCAGCGCACAGCTTTCCTTTCGTGAAGCAAGACAGATGTATATACCTGTCGCCGTTACATGCGTATTGTACATTAGCAGAACGGTGAGCAGGTGAGAAGAACGGTACTTACCTTACGCTGCTCGTCAGTCGTGGTCCACCAGGCAGCTGGCATGCAGCAGTATGTGCACGAGCAATCCTAGCGTATTTGCAAGTTGCACCTTGGAACCATGAAGATTGGGAAGAGGTAGCTACAGCCTCGGTCAGTCACCGAGGGTTGCAGCGCATGCCGTCGAATGGAGAAGAGTTCTCTAGCTGGCTAGATTCGGATAAAAAGAAGCGCGTACAAAGCCTCGGTCAGTCTGGTTACAGCGCATGCCGTCGAATGGAGGATAGTTCTCTCGCTGGCTAGACCGATCATATGGCGAGGCACTGTGTGTGAAAATAAAATTTGGAAATTAGTTTCGGATAAAAAGAAGCGCGTACAAAGCCGCGCATGTGCACATACACGACGTACGATATACAGAAAATTCCGCTCGAACGAACGACTAGGTTGGCTCGCTCCCGCTCGCCAATTATACAAACAACAACGCAGAAAAATCTAGAACGCCAATACTTTTAGCAAATTCCAACCCGCAAGACGTGGGTAGCTAGTTGGACGTTCAGCACTATGGCGGAACAGTTCCTTCGAGACAATCCCGTGTTGAGGCCGTTCGCCCTCTCGGATGTGGAGCTCACTGGACACTGGTTTTCCAGAATTGGCGGCGGAGCCTACGGCAGAGTCGAGGAAGTGATTGTTCCAGTAGGAGCTGCCGCAAAAACCATATAAGTACAACTTCCTGCAAGAAGGCGACGAGCCAGCTGCGGAACCGCCTAAAGCTTCCGTCGAGTTCGTTAGGGAATGTCAGCATATAACCACAATCCGCCATCCAAACATTGACCTGTCACGGAATAATAATTTGGACCCCCGAAATATTATTATTCGTTCCTCCGGAACGAGGCTACGCATAATGTGACCGTCCAAGCGAAAAGTCGGCAAAATTGATTTTTAGTAAACAGCCTTACAAGTCGAAACAGCGGGTACCGCGCGATTCAGACTTTTTTAGACGGAGAAGGACCTACATCTATCTAGAAGACAGCTACATACTTTATTACGTCGAAACTCGCTCGCCAGGGCCGTGGCGACGCCCCAAAGTAGGCTACACGCGCCCGTAAACGGGCGCAATACGCGGGGATTACGCGGAGAAATTTACGGGCCGTCAAAAAACAACTGCCTAACGAGGAGCCAATGATGCTAAAAGCTTATCTGCTACCTTCGTTGAGGGGCGTGTCAACACACGACGTGTAACGGAGCGCGGAAAAACTCCACGTAGAAAAATTGCCGTTTCGAAGGTCTGACTCCCGGGTATACAAAAGCAGCTATATCTCCAGAATGGAACGGGTCATCCGCAGCAAATTTTGAACGAGCACGGCAAATGGGCGGAATCCGGTGAAATCTCGAAAATATTTTTTTGCCCGACTTATACCGCTTTTTCGTCACATATTATCCCCCCTGATATGTGGGTTCCCCCCGTACACACCTGCAGTAGGCACTGTTTAGCACCTCTCGCGCAGCAAGGGTTGTGCCACCCCGATCTCAGTGAAAGCCCACTACCCTCCCTCTCACTTTGAGCTGTTCTACATCCACGACAGACACTATCATCTCGTGACCGACACGTACGCATATCGCGAGAATACAACCCGGCCGGAGTAGTAGCCTCGCGCTAATACGCTCGGCAATTATTATAACACAGGTTGTAACAAAAGAAATGAATAGTGAAGTTATAGCTGTGTTTGCATTAAGCCAGCAGCCAAACAAAAAATAATAAATAAACAAAACACAAACCAAAACATTACAAAGAATCACTAAAATGCATTTTGACTGGTAACTTTGAGCACTTCGAGCAAGGACATAGCTAGATAGTGATATGTACACACAATATTTGAATTGAAGGTGGACATGAAATGGTCCCGGAATTATCCTCGTATCTTTGATTTAAGACAAAGAGTTATATTATATTGAAAGAGGATAAGCATTCCATAGTCAATAACAGAAGTTCCCTTCAAAGTCACTCCTACAGGGAGAGTGTTTCAGCTTTAAACCATGGGCAGCTCTTGTTGAATGACTACAGGAATGAACAAAATCGCAGATATTGAAATGGTCGAATGGAAACTTTATACAATAGCGTAATATCAGCAATTTCGAACTCTATCATCAGGGGTAGCAGATTATGATGTTTCCTGTAGTCTAGAGAATGGTCAATAGTAATGAATTCGGTTGCCCTCCTCTGGACATATTATTCGAGACATTTGTCCTTTAGGAGGTACGGATGCCATACGGAAGAACAGTAAAGAAGCTGGGAACAGACAAGAGTAATGTACGAAGGGCGTTTCGCTGACACCGACACAGAACTACAGGTAGAAGACCTAACTTTTTGTAGGCCCTAGAAGAGATCAACTGATAACGAAAAGTGCAAACCCTCGGCGCACTATAACGCGAGCGTAAGTAAACGCATGCGCCGTACCACTAATTGTTGGGCTGGGTTTAGTTTTAGCTGTTACTCGTGGTCTCTTGCCGGCTCGCGCAGAGTCTGACGCGGGCTAACTACACTACTAGATAGCATGCGAGAGGCGATACACGCCCTGCGTTGCATCTTCTGGTGCCTCCGAGGTAAGCAGAGCACGCGGATCGATCATGCCCGTTGTGTATTTGCATATTGGCTTTTTCCCGCCCTAGCTTTGCAACGGAGCGTTTTCAGAGAAAACCGTTCGAACTTTCTGACCTTCATTGCCCGTTCAGTAGGTGGTATCCTTTGTGTGACGAATGAACACTAGAGAAGTGAGATGACGAGTAACAGACAGACAGACACACAGACACACAGACACACACAACTACAGTAACCATCGCTGCGCATGCGCGCCGAGGGTTAACTTAACTACCGTAACCCTTACTGCGCATGCGCCGAGGAACCATCACTCGGCGGCATGCGCGCCGTGGGTTAACAACCGTAACCCTCGCTGCGCATGCGCGCCGAGGGTAAAAGAGGAATGTGGAGTTCAACATACTAGCTGACCGTGAAGTTTTGTTGAAACTCAAGGAAGAGTTCAAGTCCCTGCAGCCTGCATGCTGGTGTAGCGGATACACTGAGTAAAGCGGAGTTGGAAAAGTGAGATCGCCAGATGAGATCAGCCAATACAAGTAGACCGAAATCCTTTTGTGCAGCTTTAGAAAAGATTTGTTTACCATTCAATGATGTAGGAGACAACCTTGGCTTGAAAATGAATAGCGGAACACTTTTCTTCATTTAAGCAGGTTCCATGTAGTGCACCAGTCAGGGAGTCTATGAAGTTTGTGGATTTATGCAGTCCTGAAATTGGCATGATGCACTTGGCATCGTCTGCAAAAAGTCAAACCTTGGAAAAGGAGAATATAGAGGGAAAATCGTTAATAAAAATGAGAAAGAGGACTGGACCGAGAACACTTCTTGTGGCAGACCAGAAACAACGGGTAAAGTTGGGGAAGTTGATTGTTGGCCAATTCTGTTCCCTCTCCCCTCGGAACGTCTGGCCCCGCGAGCCCCGGCTGAGCGTCTTTTCGAGGTCCGAAAATTAATCCCCAAAGACGGAAATAGACAAAACAAAAACACCAAACAAAACAGATAAAAAACATTATAATGCTGTCAAAAGAAGGGGGCCAATAGGGATTGCGGATCTGCGCACGGAACGCCATCACCTTGCGGAGCAACAACAGATGGCATCCGCGAGGGTACAGTTGGGGTACTATACTGATGGCTATCCATTTTCCGTCACAAACCACAGCGTCTCTTGGGACCAGTAGCTATGCTAATTAGGCTCGGGTGCCCGGCCACAATAACTTTCACAAGGTCAAAGGTCTATTGCTTTGTCCGTAGGAATAAGCTTATACATGCAAATAGACACAGTGGCAGAGGCATAGAGTCGTTTCAGTTTTGTTCCCCCTTTAGCCAGGTCATCACCATTTTTAGAGTATGTTGCGCATGCGTGAAAAAAATATTGGGTGTGGTGGTATACCCTTTGTGTTTCGTCTGCAGTGGTATCCTTGAGCTCTTCAGCCTGTAAATGTCTGGTGAGTATTTAGCTAGCCATAAATAGGTGTGTACTATATAATAGTTAGACGCTGATTCGAGGTAACTTCGCGCAGTAGAAAGCCGAGAGCACCGGCATTGTCAGTGGCTCCACCCCCGTAGCACGAGGCTTTCTACCTGCGGGTAGTTGTGAATCAGTGAGCGCGCCACCTTGAGCGCTCTGGCGTTCCTGTTCGTTCGTATGGTGGATCGCTTCGCCTGGTGTGCCACTCGTAAACTCAATTTTGACTTGGACTCTATGACGGTGTTCGTTACTCAGTTAGCATGATTTCTTCAAGCTAGCTAGCTACATAGCTATTGGTCCTGACATTATTGCAATCGTAATACTTCACCTAGTCAACAATATAGTGATTGTGTGATGGGGTCGGGGGTGTCAGCGTGCTCAAATCTGTTCGTTGACCATGCTTCATGTATCTTGTCTCCCTTTCTTTTTATTCCATCCCTAACTATATGCCTCTTCTTAATTAAATTCGCAGGATTTTTTATTGAACATTGGCTATCACAGCTAACAGCTATCAAGTGAAGTCTCTTGTCTCCCTTTCTTTTATTTCTTGGGATGTAGCCACAGCCATCTACAGCTTACCAAGAAAGGTCACTGGCCATTGTAGATCGTTGTGTAAACTGTGGCTACCCAGCCAGCGCCCCGGAATACTCATATTGACTCAATTTCAATTTAAACGGCAGCCATACATCCTCGGGAATAATATGAGTATTGACGGGCTGGCGGCTCTGGTACTGGGAATACCACTATATACCGTGGTGCCTTTGAAGATGAGCAAAACTAGGCTACATCATTGTTTACAAACAAGAAAGTATGACGTTGCGCATGTGGTTATCGATATGTACATTCATCCAAAATTTCATGTCTTCAGTTTAGGTTTTTGAGTTATGCTGTAGAAGAAGAAAACTCCCTATGATAGCCCCATACATCTATGATGCTAGGTACCATGCCAATCCTTATATACCAAGTATTACCATACTTAGTGATGCATCTTCACAGAGTTCTTGTCCGTGCTTCTTGGAGAGACCAAGAATTTTGTCAATGTCGTGAAAAATAATTATTATTTGTATGACAGCCGAATTTTAGTTACTTTGTGGTAGTAAATATAGCTCCGCTTTAGCTAGTTTCTTTTATTGGTGGAGCATTGTGGTCCATTAGCTAAAATTTACCCTACTATTACAGTTCTCAATGTTGTGTTACACCCCTTGTGTAAAAATTCATAATTTATGAATACCGACCTAATCACACTCGTGATATTTATTACTACTGCTGTTCCACCTGTACACATTACCACAGGCCGAGATCATGGATGAGGAACTTGATGATGATGACGTTCCTCTGATAGTTGAGAAACTCCATAGAGTACAAGCGGTATCCCTGATATTAGGGCGGTTACTGAGAATACCCAAAGCAAGCTTGGACTCAATAAAGCAGCAGTACACTGATCCATCACTACGCCTCATCAGTGTAATTGATGAGTTTGTGAAACAAGATGAGCCTAAACCAACATGGGGGTTTATTGTTAAAGCTCTCAAGAGTCCGTTGATAAGAGAATTACGTTTGGCTAAAAAGATCGAGGCCAACTATTGCTGTCTTCCAACTAAATCGATTGGTATGTTTAACACCGTTGCACATTCACACCAAATCTTACCATAACTTGTTTGTGTGTCTCGTCTGTCTGCAATGCTATTCTGGCACCAAGGCTACGAGGTCCCTAAATTTAGCCTCAGTGTTACATTAGCGTGAATATTGAGATTCCTGAAACTCGCATGTTATGGCAGAGTATAGAACGTTGCCATAGAGCGAAGGCTTATATAGCTTTGTTCGTTCAGCATACCATGGAGGCATGAAGATACTTGTTGGACATGTAGCTGTGTAGCATTGCCCGGAGCTTTTTTGCTCGAGTTGGGTTTGGCTGGTAGCTCTGTAGTGGCATTTTCAGGGGTCCTCTGCGAGTTTTCGTCAATTCTCAACATTAGTAAGTTGGTTTCTAAGAGAATCAGGATGCACGCCTTCATCTCCTGCCACTCAAGCAAGCCGTTGTTCGGCCTTCTCTGGTCTATACGCTACATTGTACGGTGTAAGAGTGTGAACTGTCCAGGAATAGCGTGGGTCATCGGCATAATCGCCTGCAGAGGCTCTTGCTTGGTGAGCTGTTGGTCCGTTTGTTTACAGTTGGCTCGCAAGCTACCAGTTTACTTTGTTTGATCTGTATTACGCGCTCTGCATGTTTAAGGCTAGTGGTGCTTGGTCACCTGCATCTCTACTTAGCATGTGAATATTATGCTCTAATTTACAATATCTTCACCAGCATGGCCAGAAATTGTCCATGAAATCTATTAGCAATCTTTGTACACAGTATTATGTAAACGATACTAGATGTGGAATGTAAATTATGTAAGCAATGAGCACTGTCATGCACCAGCTCACATATGTATTTTGAAGTCCTACCTATAGTAGTCTCTTCATGAGTCTCGTGGTTTCTGTGTACTGAATACAAGTGCTTCCTACCTCAAAAGTATGTATATACAGTGCGTTTGGTATTATAGAGCAGCCGGATCGACTTCCCATACAACTCTCTGGACATACCACCTGCACAATGCTAAATTCCGGTTGTAAATCTCAAACTCGAACGTGAATGAACTACAAGTAAGATCAAGTTGCGGTCCTATTTTTTTCTATCTAGGTAGCGTAGATCGCCAATTATCACACCCTTAAGTAACGGCGCATCCACTACGCTGCGGAAAAGTTACGTACTTATTCCTAACGTCGTAACCTGCAAGTTTACATACTGTAGTACCTTCGTATACAGTTTTCGAGTGGAAACCCCATACGTAACTGTAGCGGTAGTGCATCCAGCGCGCAAGGTAAAAAACCAGTTATCGCTTATACCCGGCACCAAATATCGCTTCGCATACAATATTGCGCATTCAATTATCGCCCGTCTCCGAACTTTGCTCTCTCCCGGTTCCTGTGAGCTAATAGTTTCTATTTCACGCATGTCATGACATAATACACGTCCAATTCTACACAACGTTATGTTTTAAGTCGGAAACTCTTTAATGACCAAAAATGTGCACAAACATCACTATTACAACATCAACCGGAAAACATGGCATTACAAACAGATAGGACAGAACCTCTCGGCACACTCTTCATGTAGCCAGCGGCCACATTCCAGTGTTTTCCTGTGCGATCTTCTGAGTATAAAATGCTACAAACACAGCACATATCAGTGTTGATTTGAGGGTCATCACTTTCCATTTGGGAGAGCTTACACCTCTTTTCTTTGGAGATATACGTATGCCAGTGGCTTCATTTGAAACCTTTTTCTTCCCTGCTCCTTTCGCTTTCTCTTTCCTCTTTTCTGCTGCCTCCTTCACTTTGTTTGCTTTTGTTTCTGCCTTTCTTTGTCGTTCCTCAGCTTTCCGTTTCTGTTCCTCCTCCCTTTGCCGCTTTTTCTCTTCCCTTTCGGTTTTCTACCGTTCCTTTTCCTCAAGTGCTAGCTTATTTTTTCGCTCTTTTTCTTCCACTTGTGCCAAAGCGTTGGCACTAGTCAGTAAATGGGCCTGAGGAACGCTCTTTGGATGTGTAGGCTTAGGGGGAAGTGTCAGGTACTTGGAAATAGAGCTCTCACTTGACAGCCCAGATGAAGATGAACGCCTTGGTTCTGCCACACTCTGGGAGAGACTGGTCTGCAGCACTGGGAGTGAGAGTGGTGGGAGGGTGTGCGGCACTGGGAGTGAGAGTGATGGGCTGGGAGAGAGAGTGGTGGGAGGGTCTGCGGCACTGGGAGGGAGAGTGGTGGGAGGGTCTACGGCACTGGGAGGGAGAGTGGTGGGAGGGTCTGCGGCACTGGGAGTGAGAGTGGTGGTGGCACTTCAACAAGCCTTTCTCGGCAACTGCCGACTGAATGAAAAGCACTAAAGTGCAAACCCTCGGCGCTAAACGCGCGAGTTGTAGCATAGCTGTATGCTGGGCCGTGCGTCATCGACTGAGCCAGTAACACGAGTCTCGCCGTAACACAGGGTAGCATTAGCGGTTAGAAAAATGGCTCAGGTGTTTCAGAGGCTCTCATATTTGCTTTATTCGCTCTTCTGTGTTTCAATGCTCCTGCCAGACCTTTTATAGATGGAAGGCAAGGCCGCAGCCACAACTGCTCGCCAACTGAACTATTATGCTACATTGCGAACATACCTTGCTCAGCATGTTTATCCATTGAGAACAGAGATCAAAACTGACAGAAGCCCGTGGATCGTATAATATACAATCAACGTGGTGTGGCGCATGCTCCGGCGAATGACGCGTGCGCGCTATATAGCCTGCCGGAGATGGCGCGTGCGCGATCGATCCCACGTTGGCTTTTTCGCTTGTTCTCAAGCCATATCTCTGGAACGCAGTCGTTTCAGGAAAATCGCCACATTAATATCCATCTTCTCGTTCTTCACAACTCGTTGGTGCCACTCATTGGCCGCCTCGTAGCCTGTAGTGCGAGAACTCGCGCGGACAGACAGACAGACAGACAGAATGAAAAGCACTGAAGTGCAAACCCTCGGCGCACAGTGATGCGCACGCGTAACTAATTGATGGGCTGGGTTTAGTTTTAGCTGTTACTCGTGGTCTGTTGCCAGATCGTGCAGAGTCTGACGCGGGCTAACTACACTACTAGATAGCATGCGAGAGGCGATACACGCCCTGCGTTGCATCTTCTGGTGCCTCCGAGGTACGCAGAGCACGCGGATCGATCAGACCGTGGTAAGCCATCTCGTCCGTTGTGTATTTGCATATTGGCTTTTTCGCGCTGTAGCTCTGCAACGGAGCATTTTCAGAGAAAACCCCACATATTTTCTGATCTTCGTTGCCCGTTAAGCGGGTTGTATCCTTTGTGAGACGAACAGACACTCGAGAAGTGAGATTGAGAGTAACAGACAGACAGACAAACCCAACTACAGTAACCCTCGCTGCGCATGCGCGCCGAGGGTTAACAATGTGCATTACGTCTCTCCTGGTCTTGCCGTACCATAAATTGGCACAAGATTTAAGAAAACAGCCAAGTTCTTTCTCTTCATCAAGACTGAGGTAAGGTCTTGGCCCTGGCTTAGTACCATGCACAACTCTTCCACTAATCCGATCCCGTGCTCCTCTGCTGCCCGCTTAATCGCCATGCCATTCCTAACTGCACTCATTGCTGCAGCCATCTCTTCAGCTGCCCATTGTTTACGCTTACTTTTTCTTCTTGACGAAAGGATGACATCGGGAGCAGACTCGCTCCTTCTCCTGCGACAAAAACTTCGCTTCTTTTTAGGCATTCCTTCCAACTGATCATCTGCCATAGAAAGGAGTGTAATTGTAAAGTGTTGGTGTACGTTTTCCAGCTCATCAGTAAGAATTATAGCCGTAGCTCACAGATTTATCTGCTTCGTCGGCGAGGAAGATGGTGAGGTCATTGCGTATGCTCCGTGCATCTTAGTAAATTTGACACATGCGCATGCCTACCGCTTTTGCGCGTGGCAGAGTTTTGTCACGATAATTGGTACCAGTCGATAATTGGCGCTTTACGTTAAATCTTGAGCAATTATTTAGTTTTCATGAAAATTTGTAAAGTGCAGTCGCAATAGGACCATGTTGCACCTATCAATGAGCCACTACAACATGTGGCATGGCCCAGCACGCACTTTGAGCAGGTGTTTATCATTGCATTGCAAAAAGTTGCATTCTAGTGTTACTGAGAGTATTCACTTTGGTCTTTTTCCCCCTTTGCAGCAGGGTATTCTCTCAATATACATGCTACTCCAGTCTCCCAGTCCATGCTGACTCCTTCTGTTCCCCTGTCCGTGCTGACTCTCCAGTCCATGCTGACTCCTTCTGTTCCTCAGTCCATGCTGACTCCCTCTGCTCCCCAGTCCATGCTGATTCCTTCTATTCCCCAGTCCATGCTGACTCCTTCTATTCCTCTGTCCATGCTGACTCTCTCTGCTCCCCAGTCCATGTTGACTCCCTCTGTTACCCAGTCCATGCTGACTTCTCCTGTTCCCCAGGTCATTTTGACTCCTATTCCCCAGTCCATGCTGACTCCTTCTATTCCCCAGTCCATGCTGACTCCTTCTGTTCCCCAGTCCATGCTGACTCCTTCTGTTCCCCAGTCCATGCTGACTCCTTCTGTTCCCCAGTACATGCTGACTCCTTCTATTACCCAGTACATGCTGACTCCTTCTATCCCCCAGTCCATGCTGACTCCCTCCGTTCCCGAGTCCATGCTGACTCCTTCTGTTCGCCAGTCCATGCTGACTCCTTCTATTACCCAGTCCATGCTGACTCCTTCTATTCCCCAGTCCATGCTGACTCCTTCTATTCCCCAGTCCATGCTGACTCCTTCTATTCCCCAGTCCATGCTGACTCCTTCTGTTCCCCAGCCAATGCTGACTCCTTCTATTACCCAGTCCATGCTGACTCCCTCCGTTCCCCAGTCCATGCTGACTTCTTCTATTCCCCAGTCCATGCTGACTCCTTCTGTTCCCCAGTCAATGCTGACTCCTTCTATTACCCAGTCCATGCTGACTCCCTCCGTTCCCCAGTCCATGCTGGCTCCTTCTGTTACCCAGTCCATGCTGACTCCTTCTATTCCCCAGTCCATGCTGACTCCCTCTGTTCCCCAGTCCATGCTGACACCTTCTGTTTCCCTGACTCCCTCTATTCCCCAGTCCATGTTGACTCCTTCTGTTACCCAGTCCATGCTCACTCCTTCGGTCTCCCAGTCCATCCTGACTTCTCCTCTTCCCCAGGGTGGACTGACTCCTGTCCGTCAGTCCACCCTTGTCCCCCCTTCCAAACTTGGTACTTCTATATTCCATTCCATGATGATGACAACCACAAGCCCTCTTACTAAAACAAGCCTTGATGTTACTCTGACTTCTGCGGGCCCTTACTTCAGGGTGCCGGAAAAGATGGTTTCAATAAGTTACAGTAAGTGCAATAAAATCAAGTGTATTGTTTTACTGTTAAACACACTGTAGGATATAGCCCCAGTGAGATTGAACAGAACATCGAGAAACTTGAAACAAAGTTTGAGGACCTAACTATTGCCGCAATTAAAGAACTTAATAAGCGGCGTATTGCAGTAAAGTATGCCGTTCTAAAACTCACTGCACTGCCTGCATCACAAAAATCTGAACACAGATCCTTTTTTAAAGAAAACTTACATGAACTTGAAAAATGCACTGAGTACGAATCATTGTTTGCACGTCTTAATCCATACTGGAACTACCTGTCCCCCCAGTTGTTGTACCATTTAATAAAAGGATTTCTAAATCGCACTGAAGCAAAAAAAGGAATGGATTCTTACAATAGTGAACTGTGCCAGTTTAGGAATAAGACTCTACTGAGATTATTTTGTCAGATAGACACCGAGAGGAAGAATCCTCCGGAAGATTTTTTTCTTATTGTAGCAAGGTTTGAAAGAGATATTCCGGTTCCAGATGACATCACATTACAGCATGTTGAGAATTTCAGACAGATGTATGGTAAAAATTACGGACTTCGTGACTTTGCACTCATGCTGTCCGCTGAAGTTGAATTAAACTCATACCTTGTCTCCTTCATGGCACCGCGATCAATCATTGGAAAATTGCAGAGCAGCATCCCGAAACTAATACTTGTTAAATTTGGCATCACTGGTCTTAATATTGCTGGAAAGTGTGTGTATGGTGACTTGAGGATTCTCCACCAACTTCTCCGCCACTGTTGGGGTCTAGTCAGTCATATCATCGTTTTTCTGTGATCTCTGGACAAAATTCCGAGGAAATTACTGTTTCTCAGGATATGGCTCGTTCAGGTTTGTATAAACTGTTTATAGCGCTTATTGTTTACTATAGTTTTTTTATTTGCACAGAATCACTAGAAAAGCATTTCAATTCCTTGAGAGAGCTAGTTAAATGCCGAATGGTGTCGCACAATGTAACCATAACTCAGTTTTCAGATGTAGTGACCTCCCTCTCTGCTGACACAAATGGCGACTATTCTGCTTTTCTAAGGCACTTAGAAACCGTACTTTTTAAAGTTATTCACCATCTTGAATGTCTTGGGGCAATGATGTATTACTGGCATTACCTCTCATACGATATGCTGGAGCATGTGGCACTTCGACTTAACCTTGATGGTGTCGAGCCGGAAATGCAGAGGTTCAAAGAGGATGCAGAAGAATTCCGAAGGTGCACAACGATGGCTGCCTTTTCCCAGACAGAGAAGATGAAGAGGGTGTGCCCCCCACTATATTCTGAAATTTAACCAAGTTCCAGTGGTCAGAAACAGACACACTGCGGCGACTAGAGGAGTTCAGGATGGCTTTTTTGAGAAACTATCAGCTTAACTGCTTCTCGATGATATTGGGCTTTGTGGAAATGATTGAGCCATCCCACTCCTTTAATGTAACTTGGTTTATACCACACGTAGTGACTAAATTATTGACTAGCCCACTTCCTGAGGCATTGACTACCCAGTACGCTGTTAGCAACATAGTAAGATATCTTGCTACTTCAGGAAAAGCATCTCATTTGAATGATTATGTTTTAGGACTAACAGAGGTTTGTTTCATGTTTCATCACATAAATTTTACATGCCTTGTTTTACTCTGTATTACAGGGAAACTCGGAGAGTTTTAAAGCTCTCTCGTAGGTTCTTGTTAATTTTAATAGTATAGTTGGATTTTTAGTGTTCTTATTGCAGTCATCCACTCACAAGTGATATTCTAAAACCTTATCAAAAGGTATACACACTAATTTTTTCAATAGTGTTTATGAATACACGGCACAGGTTATAGCAGATATATCAAAGGATAAAGTAACTGATCAGATCAAGACAAAGTACATAATTATAAGATAACCCATTTTTGCATTATCCTACTATACTATCCTATCCTACTATAGGGACATCCTGTCAGTGCAGGATGATAAATCTGATGTGTTCAGCATACCAATACATTACAATGCAATAAATGATCAGAGGTGAGGACAAAGCTCCAAAAATATTTGTCGACTGTGTCTTAAAACTTTCGGCGCACATGCGCAGCGAGGGTTACATTACTTGGTCTGTATGTGTGTGTCCGTCTGTCTGTCTGTCAGCAGACTCCCGCATCGGCATGCTATCTTATAGTGTATAGCTAGCCAGTGTCAGACTCTCCGCAACCAACCACGAGTAAACGCATACTCATAGCCCAGCTCATCAATTAGCGGTACCGTGCATGCGTAATGCGCTGAGGGTTTGCACTTTAGTGCTTTTCATTTGTTAGGGTAATTGGTGAAAAAGGCGTAACACTGAAGAATGAACCCAGAGCAGAGATTCATGTGAGGTGTTACAGTTGTATTAATATTTTACTCTTGTACGTTTGTCTCTACTTTAGCTTACAGCTGACATATCAGTACCTGCTGCACCAGAAAAGTGAGTCTAAAATTGTTTGTGCAAGCCTCTTATGTAGTCACTTTTAAGAAGCTTGGCTTCTATACAAGGAACAAGCTAAATGTCGACATCTTGTGTTTTATAGTTTGGAAGAACCTAAAATGTTTGGTATAGCGATAACACAGATGGATGAGAGGTATATATAGTGTGTGGGCAGGTACTTATACACTGCATAATAACCCTTATACGGTGAGGGTTACATTACTTGTTTTGTGAGTGTGTTTGTGTTTGTCCATCATAGGTCTGTGTGTCTTGCTAGCAAAAGTGACAAAAACCAACATTGGTTTCATTTTTAAATACTGTGGAAACCCAAGTTATTATTATACAAGTGGAAAAATCATTTCTTCAAAATGAAGGGGGATGTAGGGATGGTGTAAATTATGAAAAAGGATAACCAACAATAGAAAGACAGCTTCGGCTGAAAACAAAATCATACATCCATCCCTACATCTTTCTTTCTTCAGCTCTGTCGAAGAATGTGTAGGCACTCAGTTTTGGTGTAGGGTATACTAATCCATAACAAATAACAGTTGAGGTTGTCCCATCCCTCTCCGCGACTTCACCTCTGAACCCTGTCTCATAGGTTAGTGGAGGGGAGGTTAAAGAAAGATGTAGGGATGGATGTATGATTTTTGTTTTCAGCCGAAGCTTCTTTCTTGTTGGTATCCTTTACACCATCCCTACATCCCCCTTCATTTTGAAGAAATGATTTTTCCACTTGTTCCACTTACTTTTTTGCCACATGCTCAGCCCCACCCTTTTCGTGGTGCAGAGCGGCAAGCGAGGGGCTGCACGCATTAGGATTCACACACGCGTGGGTGAAAATTTATGCACTGCATATTTGTGACTTGAAGATTTGATCGCACACACACTCACAGTGCATTGTGGGGGAAGGGGCGATGGTCGTGACTTTGTTTGCAATTTTGCGCGATTCTTGCGTGAGAGACTAGCGGGCACATACGCAAGTACAAAACTAACCCAAGATTCATTATACAAATGCTTTGTTGTGAATTGTGAATGAAAGTTATTTTCTTTACGAGAGGTCTATTCCAGCTGAAGTGAAAGGTGGAGGCCAGGGGTATATAGCTAGTAGCGACTGGGCAGTAGAAGCCAGAAGTTTGTAGGGTTCAGGTTGTAGCTTGAGAGTGTAGTTGCAGTCCAACCCCTTTGAACATATAGATAGTATGCACCATCAATACAGAGGAGTAGACAGACAATGTAAGGAGTAGGCTTACAATTTGAGTTGTTAGTGTAACAAAAGCTAGGTTGGAAGTGGGATAAGGGTGAAGGAATGTACAAGTCAGCAGTGGTGATAAGGGAAAACACTTCAGACCCCCACCTGCCAAGCAACTCCCAGATAATCTTATAATGGCTGGGTATCCTTCCCACTGTCTGTGTTACATCTATAGTGCAGCAATATTTCCCTTCAACTGGGCAACAGCCGCCTTTTTGTTACCAGGGTCAGCATGATAGCCGCTTACCAGGGTCTGACTGGCAAAGGGATCTACCTCTAGCCTTTATAATATTCTCGGAATTCTGCACATAATATCTACTGCCCTCTTTTTCAAGCGATAAGGCAAAAACTTGAACTTATCTCAAAGGATGGAGAAGCCCGGGTGGCAGTGACGACAGCAGAGCAGTGGTAGAGCGCAGTGGAGGGCCTTGCGACTGAAGGAACAGGGTGGTGTTCTTGTTACCAGCCACGACTGTCAGCAGAGAAGTGCTGGCTAGAGGCCGAGGGATACAGGTGGAACTGGAAGGAGAGTTGTCTGGCACCCCTATTAGAATAGGCAATGAGGGTAATGCAGACAACTTGCCTTGAATCATAATTCTGTGGCCCCAACTCCAGAAACCCAGACCTTGGAGTAAATTATACGTGATTTATATTCGTAATCACAATAGCAAGACTTACTTTTGACCGTGGCGACTCCAGCACAATAGTAGCAGCAGTGCGGACAAGACAGACACGGAGTGTCACGTGGACGCTGTCTCGTGGAAAAAATTCGTCGCCGTGGAACCTCGAAAGAAAATTCACAATGAGCTGCATTGCAGCTAGCTAAAGTACACACAATAGTAACTCCTTACCACAAGACGGATAGCTAGGCCCAAATTCGGGAGCAAACTCAGGCGAGCGAAAAACAAGCCGCCAACACGGCTAGCACCACGCGGTCCGCTCTCCCCTGCCTGGCGCATGCGCACGGCTCACTGATGCTGAGTTAGCAGCAAATGGCGTTGTTCAGTGTTGACCATGGGACAGCTCCATGATCTGCAGTAGTGACTTGCGGCAAGAAAGAAACGATCGCTTGATGTCCGTGCATACCTTGGACGAAATTGGAGACGTTCAGTGAAAAAATCAGCGCTCCAACTGGTACTGGTAAGGAGATCGCGGGTTTAAAGAAGAAGAAGAAGAAGAAGAAGAAGAAGAATATGATGACACGAAAATCAGAAATCGCGTATGAGCGGATTCTCGTGTCGAGAATTGCAGGGACATATGAAACTTCTGGGCATATGTATAGGTAGATATGGACCCGTGAGAGATTTTTGGTGTGTTTTGAAGGCATAGCTAGCCATTCTCGCCGAGTTTCGAGGCGTTTTGTACGCGGATCACGTCAGATTTCACTCGTGTCATCCCTACATAGAGCGTCTACCGACGCTCTGATAGAAAGTCAGTAGATGCTCTATATAATTAGACCGTCGGTAGACACTCTATATAGGGATGGCACGGGTCAAATCTCACGTGATCCACGTACAAAAAGCCTCCAACATCCAACCTAGCCTTCAAAACACACAAACTCAATTAACTCGATCTTTGTTCTCGAGAAGCTCATACCCATCTTCAGGTTTCCGTGCGAAAAATGACATTCTTCTTCTTTTTCAGTAAACGACCTAACACCTTAGTTGGTGCACTGACATTTGTGACTGTCCATGTGAAAAAAACGGTAAGTCGGCATTTTTTTTCGACATTTACGCTCAGTGCTCCAAACCAAGCATAGTAGCTCTCAGAATAACACTGTACCCGGATTCTGCGTCAGGCGTCAATGCTTTTGCTGCACTGTTTCAAAATTTGGTGTGTATAGGAGATATAGCTGCTTTTGTACCTGGGGAGTTAGATGTTTGAGATGTGAGAAACAAAGATAAATTTTGCCGTTAGTTGTTGACATGCTTGCTCACGCGGTTGTGGAACAATGGTATCTCTCATAAAAATGAAGAAGACTGACTCAATGAAGGTAGCAGGTAAGCTTTTAGCATCATTGGTACATATACCCTAGCTCCTCGTTAGGCAGTTGCTTTTGGACGGCCTGTAAAAATGTGGGAGTAGTGCAAAAAATTCGTAAAATTCACACCAAGTATTTGGAGGGTCAATTTCTCACTTTAGTGCATAGCTGATTCGAATTGACCAATCACATTTGTTAGTACGAGGTTCCTGATTTCTCATATGAACCTCGTGAGCTAACAAAAGTAACATGAAAACATGATATGAAACCTTGTTTTTTCTGTTTATTTTCGACAAGTTCAACAGCATTTCATGTAGGAAATGTATCCCGCAAAACATGATCTGTACAAAATGTTGATCAAAATAACTGATATCTTGATTTTCTTTTTCCACAAGACAATTTTCTGTGTCTGCTTTGAGCTCACGCCCACCCACAAACTGCAGCATGCAAATGAGGGGGTGGGGCTCCGCGAGCGAGTGCCCGCGACAAAGCTACTGGTCTACGGCGAACACCTTCGGTATAGCAGCCCGCACAGCGCCTGAACTCTTCACTCTTGCCTCTTTCTGGTTGCATAGATTGTGATGGTTCGCGCAAGTCTCCTGTCGCGTTTCTTCGGACGCGAGGAGTGGAGGACAGTCACGCAGCGGGTGTACCTACAGCAGCGGAGCAGCGTATCCTAGCGTTCGGCGTTCAATAGTCCCGCACGAGTCTTGCTCTCTCGTCTCTTTCTCGTATCTTTCAAATTCCCTGTGCTTGGAAACGTGACAGTGCGCGTATACGGAGCTGATTTGCTCTGCACTAAACATGTTATGTACTCCGTATACTCGGGACATAACCGGATTTCAATGAACCCTCAGGCCATCCGCGTAGTGCCCTCGCTGCTCTCGGGACACTACAAACGCGGAGGCCCTCGGGTTCATTGAAATCCGGTATGTCCCTCGCACGTAGTACATAACTTATATTTACCCTTCAGAAATTACGAGGTTAAACTACACCCATCAAAGATTTCATGGGTAAACTTCACTCTTCAAAAACTATTCAACCTTCAGAAGTTACCTTACCGTACCGAGGCGGTGAACTTCAGAGAGCGACTGGTCAGTCATCTAATGCCCACACATGTACACACCTGACATGGATATCAGTGGAACTAGGTTGACACGGATGTCGATTGCACGTATCAGTTAGTGGTAACACCCCAAGACAAGGCCCCCCCTTCCTCTCACACGTAGCAGGGTCACCACACGCACGTTAGTTCGACTGTTGCAAAGCCGGCTGGTAGTTGCTGGGTAGCGCTTGGACTGGAGTTTCATTTTTGGTTCTAGCCATCCCCTCTTCCCCTTCGTCTCCCGCTTTTATCCCCTCCCCATCCCCCTTTGAGCTCTATCAACCGTCCTCACTTCGGTGAGGCTGCGCGCCAGTTCGCACTCAGCGTCGTGGTATCGTGCAGACAGCGCAGCATCGATGCTGTCACCATCACGACCACAGTAGTGAGCAGTGGTTCCATTGTCAACCATACAGGCCGACCTTGTGGCTCGGGTGCTGCAGACCCTTATTCATTCAGCCTGGCATTTGGGTGAGCCACCTCCGCCTACTAATGTCTCTGTGGCAACACTTGTGGTGGCAGTGCCCACCATTGCATCAGTTCAGTTTGGCCACAGCAGCTTTGTATTTGCCATTAGCTCTCTGTCAGCGTCTAGCAGCGGCAGCTAGCACAGCGGGAAACTTTATTGCATACATGGAGGGGGGTATAGCTCAGCTTCAGGGCCTTGCATTCCAATTTTAATGTAGCCTCAGTGGTAGGGTCATTGGGCACCTTTCTAGTTGTAATCCCCCCTACAGTAACAACAGTACCTGGTAGGGGAAAAAAGAGGCATATAGGGATGGTATATATAAAAATATAGGGAGACAAGATAGGGATGGATACATGAAGTATAGTTAATGAACAGATTTGAGCACGCTGACACCCCCAACCCAATCACGCAATCCCTATATTGTTGCCTGGTGTGCCACTCCATTTGTACTCTTGGTTACTCAGTAGCATGACTTTTTCATATTTTCAAGCTAGACTATTGTGCAATGTTGAATGTACTTCACCTAGGTAACAATATTATTGTCTATCTTGTCTCCCTTTCTTTTTATACCATCCCTATACGCCTCTTTTTTTAAATTCGCAGGATTTTTAATTTACTTGCCTCCACTCATTTTTTTATACGTATAATATATGTGAAAGGGGGCAAGCCCCCTACAAAAATTAATAATAGCGAAAAATGCCTGTTGTCGTCATGGAAATGATGTAATACACGTCCGTACAAAGTTTCACCTCCATTTGTGCTGCCGTTAGCAAGTTTGAGGAATGAAGAAGTAAACGGCTGAGGCTATTTGTTGTTGTTCAAATAATGTGTGGTTGTCATGGAAACGATGTCATACACATTCTGACCTAGTTTCATCTCCACGAGTGCTACGGTTGGCAAATTTGAGGAGTGAAGAAGTAATTTTAAATAAAATTGCCAGAGGCTTTTTCAAACAATATACGGTCGTCATGGAAACATTTAATCGTCATGGAAATGATATAATAGGCATACATACCAAGTTTGAACTCTATGCGTGCTACCATTGGAAAGTTTGAGGAGTGAAGAAGTAATTTAAAGAAAAGTGCCTGAGGCTATTTGTTGTTGTTTATAAACATGTATTGTTGTGATTTCAATGTTGGTGATTGAATACATTATGTCTACCAAGTTTGGTTCATATAGCTCTTACCATTTGTGAGTTATACTGACACGTGATCCCCTTATAATGTATTTCCTGGGGCTATTTCTTGTTGTTTACAGTAAACAATGGTGTTTACAAACAAATAAGTATGACCAGTCTCTTCGGGTGACGGATATCTACATTCTTACAAAATTTCATTACTATATGCTATTTCGTTTTTGATTTACGCGAGTTAAATCTGAAGAAGAAGAAGAAGAAGGAGAAGAAGAAGATGAACAAAATTCCCTATCATAGCCCATACATCTATGATGCTAGGTACCATCCCCATCCCTATATACTAAGTACTACCGTACTTAGTGATTATTTGCATAACTTTATGTACATGTGTGAAAAGGTGCTAAATTATCACTTCCGCTGCACAGAGGGTTTGCACTTCAGTGCTTTTTATGACCCTCAGCGAACATGCACAGCAAGGGGTTACGGTATATCTCTATTTGTTTGCAGCTATACTGGCACTACAGGCTACAAGATGGCCCATGAGCGATACCAACGTCTTCAGAATTACGCGAGCCTGAAAGATAAAATGGCGATTTAAAAAAACAGCATTCAAAACATTAAGCCAAAAGCGAAAAAGCCAATAATGCGTAATCACACTGGCATACCTTGATTCGTTCTGCTTGCTCTGCATACCTTGGAGGCAGAAGAAGTCGCAACAAAGGATCGACTCTGCGTTCTATTTACGAGTGTATAGCTAGCCTGTGCCTGACTCTTCACGAGCTAGTAGTGGGAGATTGCGAGGAGATGCATACCAGCGTGCATGTGCGTATGTAGAGAATTTACACTTTAGTGCTTTTCATTAACCCTCGGCGCGCATGCGCAGCGAGGGTTACTGTAGTCCTTCTGTCTGTGTGTGTGTGTGTCGACGCTTAAGCGGCCCATTAGCGATACCAGCAGCTTCAGAATTACACGAGCCTGAAAAGTAAAAGGGCGATTTTCCTGAAACGACTGCATTCGAGAGCGACAAACTGGCACCGTCGCGGAACGTGTTCCGTGGCCCAACCCATCAATAAGCGGTGCGCATGCGTATATTAGATGCGATCAACGCGCAGCGGTATGCTGGCTCACCCCGACCTTATCCGCTTTGCTCTGTGTACCTTGGAGGCACAAGAAACCACAGCGAAGGCGTGTATCGACTCCCGCATGCTTTCTACTACCGTAGCTAGCCCGTGTCAGACTCTCCGCGAGCTATATATATACTAAGCGGGAGACTGCGGGTCCGTCCATTAGCAGTATCGCGCATGCTCAGTTCGCCGAGGGTTTGCACTTCAGTGCTTTTCATTATTTACAGTAATGACGAAGAAGAACTTCAACCGCAATTGTTGGATGAAGAACAAATTGCTGTAAGTAATAAGCATTTATAAAGTAATAGTTATTAGTGACTTTCTCACTGCTATAGATGAGTACTGATGAGTCTGCACTGGCTACACCGGGGTATGGATGTCAACATTATTACAGTACAAGATGTTTTTTGCCATACTCTCATTTAGGGTTATTGAAGCATTACTTGGGTTGGACAAAAAAGATGAAGATGGTGATGTAAGATTCTTATATAAATTATTATTGAGTTATGTTGAGGTGTTATTCTAGGATTTGCCTGAAGCCGAGATAACACCTGATGAAGATGATATTCATGGGAGGTGAGACATTAGTAGCAATGCTAGAATTATTAATGTTGAACTCTTTCAATATAGTGCTAGACCTGTTCAACCAGATGAGAAAACACATCCAGAGGAAAATTACCATTTTGTTGACGGGTTGTCAGATAATTACCTCTGCCCGATACTGGCTGTGCTGCTACTAGAGCCTCACCTCACAGAGTGTTGCGGCCAGCACATTTGTCAAATAGCTGTTGATCAGTTTTTCACACATTCTTATCCACGCCGTCCACCCTGTCCATTCTGTAGCAAGCCATTGGTCACTATAAGAGACGCTAATTTCGGACGTCAAGTGAGAGAGCTCCCAGTGTTTTGTCCGAATAAGAACAGAGGGTGTGAATTGGTAGCTGAGCTCTCAGAACTGGAGACTCATATAGAGCAGTGTCCGAGGCAGTTTGGTACTCCCGCCAATTTAAAACTGAAAGCGCTAGGTATATAATCTATTGTTGGTCACTCAATGTACTCAAATGTGTTACCATTCACTTTCTGTTTTCTATAGGTCATGAAGTATTAAGCAAAGAAAATGAAGGAATTATTGTGAATGAGCTCATGAATATCCGCAAGGTCTCACTTCAGCTTGGAAATGCATTAAAAGTGCCACACACTGTACTAGAGGGTATTAAAAGCTACAATCCAAAAAATACGGCTAATTAAAGTCATTGAAGCATTCTTAGAGGATCATCCCAGACCTAACTGGATATCCCTTGTGGAGGCCCTTCGTTCAGTCCAGTGTTCTAGGCTTGCAGGAAAACTTGAGAGAAAGTACTGTAGAGCTCATGAAGGTAAGTATAACCAGCCATTAAAGGCAGCATTGATTTTATGACATGTTAAAACTTCTACAATTCCTGCTGCTGAAGCAGATTTAAAAATTTTTTATTATTGCAGATGCAGAGGAACAGAATGATTTGCGTTTAGCTGACAATAGTGTAGTGTGGCACACTGGACACAGTTATGGTCATGGACTTTACGGAGATGTGATGGAAGTAGCATACAGAGGAACCACGATGTATGCTGCTAAAAAGTACCGACATGTCGACAGAGCTACTGTATTAAACCACTTTGGTCAAGACAAATTTCTTTGTCGTATTCAACATCCAAACCTGGTTGCCTACTGTGGGGTAGGATCGCTAGCTATTGACCACTCTCCTGTAGTTATAATGGAAAGAATGGACATGAACTTGAGCACCTTTTTAGAAACCAACTCACTACCTGTTGAACAAAAACTTAAGATTATCAGTGAAGTAACTAAAGGATTGAATCATCTCCACTCCCTGACACCAATCATTGTTCATGGAGACCTCAATGACAAAAACGTTCTCATCTCCACACGAGTAGTTGCAAAAATTGCAGATTTTGGTAACAACTTCATTGCACCACCAGAACTAGCATCTGCAGCACAGAGAGCAGCACTTGAGTATATGCCACCTGAAATAATTGAAGGAAGTAATTGCAATGAAAAAGTTGATATATTTTCTTTCGGTCATCTCACAATATACGTAATGAATCAATGTAAACCACACCCGATATTGGGACCCACTTTCAGAAAAGGGGGAGAGCTCACTGCTCGGTCAGAAGTTGAACGACGTGCCAATTTCCTGGATGAAATGAAAGTTCAACTAGATGGTGGCGGTACACATCCTCTGTTTATGATGGTCACAGACTGCCTGGATGATGATGCAGATCAAAGACCATCTTGTCAAGATATTCTTAAACGTGGCATTTTCACTGAAAGTAAGTTATTCTTGTTACAATTACATGTACAATGTATGTATTAATAATTATGCAGTGTTTCCTGGGGGAAATGAAGAGCAGGCATTTGGACCAGACACTGTCGTTAAAGCAACAAGTGTCATACTAGGTCATGGTGCATTTGGTAGTGTTATTGAAGTTGAATGCAGAGGAAAACTATATGCTGCAAAAAGGTTCCACCCTGAGAATGAATTCAATGAAGAGCACAAGATTCTGGCGCACATCCGGCACAGAAACGTTGTGCCCTACCATGGCATGTGCAAATTGGCACCTGACAACACACCGGTTCTTGTCATGGAACGAATGGAAATGAACTTGGGCACCTACCTCACAGCTGAACAAAATACCAACTTGACACTCGATAGAAAGTTTGAAATACTTCAAGATGTCATTCAAGGTCTGAATCACATTCATACACACAGTCCCATAATTATCCACAGAGACCTCACTGCCCAGAATGTGCTTCTTGATGCACAAGGCACAGCCAAAATTGGTGACTTTGGAAATTCATACACCGTGAAATTGAATGTGGCAATGCAGGAACTGCCAAGTGCCACACCAGGAACAATGAACTACATGCCACCAGAAGCTCAAGACGCCGGTGAATTTGATGAGAAAATTGATGTATTTTCATTCGGTCATCTTGCATTATATGTCATGATCCAGCACCCACCTCATCCGCTTCTGGCACACACATACACTGTTGAAGGGGTGCACCATGCCCGCAGTGAAGTACAACGTCGACAATTATACCTCGATCAAGTCACGGACAACCTACCTAAGCGACAGAGTCATCCACTGTTTTCTGTTCTTACCAGATGTCTTAACGATGATCCGAAAGAGCGACCCTCTAGTGCTGAAATTCTTGACAGCAATGTATTAGTAACACATGACGGTAATGAAGACCTAATGGAAAGTTTTATATACACTGATATAGATTATAAAGATGGTACTGATCCTACACATGCTGCTCTTGATGTGGGTCCTGCAATTGATCATCCTACTCCTGCAACTCATGATACAAATCCTACAGACCCTGCTCAAGAACCAACACAGGGTGCAAAATATCCTACAGATGCTGCAAAACGTCCTAGAAAAGCAGATAAAGTCACTATAAAGGATCCTCCAGAAGAAGTTAAAGATCCTACAGTCGCTATAAGGGATCCTCGAGAAGTAGTTAAAGATCCTACAGTCGCTATAAGGGATCCTCGAGAAGTAGTTAAAGATCCTACAGTCGCTATAGGGGATCCTCGAGAAGCAGTTAAAGATCCCGCAGTCGCTATAAAGGATCCTCGAGAAGAAGTTAAAGATCCCGCAGTCACTATAAGGGATCCTCGAGAAGTAGTTAAAGATCCTACAGTCGCTATAAGGGATCCTCGAGAAGCAGTTAAAGATCCCGCAGTCACTATAAAGGATCCTCGAGAAGAAGTTAGAGATCCCGCAGTAACTATAAGGGATCCTCAAAAAGCAGTTAAAGATCCTGCAGTCGCTATAAGGGATCCTCGAGAAGAAGTTAAAGATCCCGCAGTCACTATAAGGGATCCTCGAGAAAAAGTTAAAGATCCCGCAGTCGCTATAATGGATCCTCGAAAAGAAGTCAAAGATCCCGCAGTAACTATAAGGGATCCTCGAGAAGAAGTTAAAGATCCCGCAGTAACTATAAGGGATCCTCGAGAAGCAGTTAAAGATCCCGCAGTAACTATAAGGGATCCTCGAGAAGAAGTTAAAGATCCCGCAGTCACTATAGGGGATCCTCGAGAAGAAGTTAAAGATCCCGCAGTAACTATAAGGGATCCTCGAGAAGTAGTTAAAGATCCTACAGTCGCTATAAGGGATCCTCGAGAAGCAGTTAAAGATCCCGCAGTCACTATAAAGGATCCTCGAGAAGAAGTTAGAGATCCCGCAGTAACTATAAGGGATCCTCAAAAGCAGTTAAAGATCCTGCAGTCGCTATAAGGGATCCTCGAGAAGAAGTTAAAGATCCCGCAGTCACTATAAGGGATCCTCGAGAAAAAGTTAAAGATCCCGCAGTCGCTATAATGGATCCTCGAAAAGAAGTCAAAGATCCCGCAGTAACTATAAGGGATCCTCGAGAAGAAGTTAAAGATCCCGCAGTAACTATAAGGGATCCTCGAGAAGCAGTTAAAGATCCCGCAGTAACTATAAGGGATCCTCGAGAAGAAGTTAAAGATCCCGCAGTCACTATAGGGGATCCTCGAGAAGAAGTTAAAGATCCCGCAGTAACTATAAGGGATCCTCGAGAAGAAGTTAAAGATCCCGCAGTCGCTATAGGGGATCCTCGAGAAGAAGTTAAAGATCCCGCAGTCGCTATAAGGGATCCTCGGGAATCAGTTAAAGATCCCGCAGTCGCTATAAGGGATCCTCGGGAATCTGTTAAAGATCCCGCAGTCGCTATAAGGGATCCTCGAGAAGAAGTTAAAGATCCCGCAGTAACTATAAGGGATCCTCGAGAAGAAGTTAAAGATCCCGCCTTGCTATAAGGGCTCCTCGAGAAGCAGGTTTTTTATAAAGGTTTAAGATCCCGCAGTCAGTCACTAAAGGGATCCCGAGAGAAGTTAAAGCTCCGGACGTCGCCTTATAAGGGATCCTCGAGAAGCAGTTAAGATCGCGCAGTCGCTATAGGATCCTCGAGAAGCAGTTCAAAGATCCTGCAGGTCGAGCTAGTACAGGGCATCACGAAACGTCTAAAGAGCGACATAGCTAGAAGGAGCTCGTAGTGAAGCTAAAGTACCGCACAGTAGCGATAGCATCTACGAAGGAAGACACAGTCATAAAGATGCCGCAGGCGTGGTGGCTATACGAGGGGCCTCGAGACAGCAGTTAAAGCATCCGCGCACGTAACTGATAAGGGATCCTCGAGAAGCAGGTTAATCTACTGATCCGCGCAGTCGCTCATAGGGATCCTGCGAGACAAAGCAAGACAGTTAAGATCCCGCCGTAAGACGCTCTAAGGTAGACCTCGAGAAGACGTCTAAAGCATCCGTGCAGTCGCATCTATAGAGGAGTCCTCAGAGAAGGAAGCAGTATATAAGCGATCCGCGTCGCTAACGATACCGAGAAGAAGTGAAAGAGTCCCGTACGGGCCTAAAGAAGCGATACCGCGAGCCAGATGGTAGAGATTCCTGCAGCGCTAACTCTAAGATCCTCGTAGAGAAGTTAAAGATCCTGCAGTCGCTATAAGGGATCCTCGAAGAAGCAGTTAAAGATCCCACAGTGCTATAAGGGATCCTCGAGAAGAGTTAAAGATCCACAGTATGTAGAAGGGATCCTCGAGAAGAAGTAGATCCCGCAGTGCTATAAGGGATCCTCGGAAGTTAAAGATCCGCAGTCGCTATAACAGATCCCGAAACATAGTTAAAGATAAGGGCATCCTCGAGAAGAAGTTACAGATCCCACAGTTGCTATAAGGGATCCTCGAGAAGAAGTTAAAGATCCCGCAGTTGCTATAATGGTCCTCGAGAAGCAGTAAAGATCCCGCAGTCACATAAGGGATCCTCGAGAAGAATTAAGATCCCGATCGCTATAAGGGATCCTCGAGAAGCAGTAAAGATCCGCATCGCTATAAGGGATCCCTCGAGAGAAGTTAAAGATCCCGCAGTCACTATAGGGGATCCTCGAGAAGAAGTAAGATCCCGCAGGATTAAGCAATAAGGGATCCTCGGAAGCAGTTAAAGATCCCGCAGTAAGCTATAAGGGATCCTCGAGAAGCAGTAGAGTTAAAGATCCCGCAGTAACTATAAGGATCCTCGAGAAGAAGTTAAAGATCCCGCCAGTCACTAGTAGTGGATCCTCGAGAAGCAGTTAAAGATCCCGCAGTAACTATAAGGGATCCTCGAGAAGCAGTAAAGATCCCGCAGTAACTATAGGGATCCTCGAGAGCATTAAGATCCGCAGTTCTATAAGGTCCGCGGAATGTAAGATCCCGCCGTAACTATAAGGATTCCTCGAGAAGAGTTAAGATCCGCAGATAACTAAAAGGATCCTCGAGAAGACGTTAAAGATCCCGCAGTCGCTATAAGGGATCCTCGAGAAGCAGTTAGAGATCCCGCAGTCGAACTGTAAGGATCCTCGAGAAGGCAGTTAAAGATCCCGCAGTAACTATAAGGGATCCTCGAGAAGCAGTTAAAGATCCCGCAGCATAACTATAAGGGATCCTCGAGAAGAGTTAAAGATCCCGCAGTCGCTATATGGATCCTCGAGAAGCAGTTAAAGATCCCACAGTCGCTGTAAGGGATCCTCGAGAAGCAGTTAAAGATCCTATAAGGGATCCTCAAGAAGAAGTTAAAGATCCCACAATCGCTATAAAGGATCCTCGAGAAGAAGTTAAAGATCCCACAGTCGCTATAAGGGATCCTCGAGAAGCAGTTAAAGATCCCGCAGTCGCTATAAGGGATCCTCGAGAAGAAGTTAAAGATCCCACAGTTGCTAGAAGGGATCCTCGAGAAGAAGTTAAAGATCCCGCAGTTGCTATAAGGGATCCTCGAGAAGCAGTTAAAGATCCCGCAGTCGCTATAAGGGATCCTCGAGAAGAAGTTAAAGATCCCACAGTTGCTATAAGGGATCCTCGAGAAGAAGTTAAAGATCCCGCAGTTGCTATAAGGGATCCTCGAGAAGCAGTTAAAGATCCCGCAGTCACTATAAGGGATCCTCGAGAAGAAGTTAAAGATCCCGGAGTCGCTATAAGGGATCCTCGAGAAGCAGTTAAAGATCCCGCAGTCGCTATAAGGGATCCTCGAGAAGAAGTTAAAGATCCCGCAGTAACAATAAGGGATCCTCGGGAAGCAGTTAAAGATCCCGCAGTAGCTATAAGGGATCCTCGAGAAGCAGTTAAATATCCCGCAGTAACTATAGGGATCCTCGAGAAGCAGTTAAGATCCCGCAGTAACATAAAGGGATCGCGAGAAGCAGTTAAAAATCCCGCAGTAACTATAAGGGATCCTCGAGAAGACGTTAAAGATCCCGCAGTCGCTATAATGGATCCTCGAGGAGCAGTTAAAGATCCCGCAGTCGCTATAAGGGATCCCCGAGAAGAAGTTAAAGATCCCACCGTCGCTATAAAGGATCCTCGAGAAGATGGTAAAGATCCTGCAGTCGCTATAAAGGATCCTCGAGAAGAAGTTAGAGATCCTACAGAAACTGCTACAGATGCAACTCAAGGTCTTACAGATGCTGCTAAAGATTCTCTAGATGTGGCTCAATATTCTAATAACACTGCTGCTGATGCAGCTTACGATTCTGCAGGAACTCCTCAAGATCCTAAAGAACTTGTTACAAGCCAGGCTAAAGGTCCCACAGGTGCAGCTAAATACCTTACAGACATGGCAAAAGATCACACAGATGCAGCTAAAGATCCAGCGAATGTGGTTCAAGATCCTACAGAATATCCTACAGACGTGACTCAAGATACCATAGATGCTGATACTCCAGAACCAGAAGATGCTGCTAAATAAGATACAGAGGAGGAGATTAATTAACAGCTGTTTTGTACATAATAGTGTAAGATTTTCTAGTTAATTCGCGTGAGCAAGTCTATAATTAGCTAATTGGCTTGTTTACAAACTCATTAGCATTTTTCTTCTTCATTTGCGAGCGAAGCGAGTCCACCTAAGCGTCTGAATGGCAAGCGGAAGCGAGCCAACCTAGTCGTTCGTTAGAGCGGATTTTTCTATCAGAGCGTCCAGGGGAGTGACGCATGTCCAGCTCCGGCGCATAGTCATAAACGTTTCGCACGTGGTATATAAGCAAGATATATTGGTCCGTGGGTCGAATGAGAAGTTTCGCATGTATATAAAAAGCCGCTCGTGCAAGATAAAGGCCAAAAAATCCGGTTTACCATGGCCATGTATCAAAAAACATCGACGCCCACGCGACGCACATTTCCCTACGCGTTTGCCGCACGTGGTGACGGTGCCGTGTGCGTCGGTGTGTACTTACACCATGCATAATACACACCACAGTGGGCGTACGCGTATTCTTCCATGTCGACCAAGTATTCTAATAATGCCTATACAAGGAGAAAGATCCCCCTATTGGTAGTGGCAGGGGAACAGCAGGGACATACGTAAGTTCCCAGTGCATACTTTAGCAGGTTGACACATCGGGTAACAGGTGGTCTTTTCCCTTACATCATCTCCTTAATTTCACTTTCATGTTGCAGAAGATTAATAACTATTCTACGCTAGAATCAAGCTATCGAATGGATGAAAGTCTCGCCGGCTAGATCGAGGAAACAGCAGCGCGAGCTACGGACCCATTGCTCCCTCCCGTGCGCATCGTATACAGTGGAACCCCTCTAAGGCGGACAACTTAGAGCCACAACATTTGTGCATTATAGCGGGGTGTCCTTAATGTCACTAATTCACTGTTAAAGCACTCTAGACAAGATTTAACGAGATTATGATGATAATGATGATGACAGTAGTCAAAAAGTCTATTGAAAGTACTCATCCAGTGTACTCTGTCTACCCAAAGCTAAGGTATATATTGTAGTTAAGGCGCTACTACGCAGGAATCAACATCAGAGAATTGCCACCAAGTCTGCCGAGGAGAGAGAGGGTCGACTACAGTTACGCAGGAATCATGTGCTACCTGCGCATGCGTCAGGATAACGCGCTTCGATCGATCTACACGGTGCGCTCGTGCTCGCTCCCGCTCGCCATGCGTTCGCCTACTAGTACGAACTAGTTGAAGCTCTTCGCACTGATGGACGTCTCTAAAGCAGTTTCTGTTGTAACCATGTTGTTATGTATAATTCGCTGGCAGGGGGTGTGGCAAACTGTCCGTTACGCGGGGTTTTTTTCTACGTTGAAAAGCATTTGGGATTGGTTTTACTGTCCGTTATACGGAGTAGCGGGGTGTCCGTTCTGGAGGGGTTATGAACGTATGGAACTCTATGATAAAACAATCGGGACCTGCGAGTTTGTCCGTTATAACGCGGTGTCCGTTGTAGAGGGGGGTCCGGTTAAGCGCGGTTCCACTGTACGTGCCGGGGGCCGGCCCTGCGTTCGCTGCATGGTCGCACGATCGCAATCTATTGGGGGGTGTAACCAGCTCGACCAGCACTCCAAGGACGGTGGTGGTGATATAATATACAAACAACGCAGAAGAACGCCAATTTTCTGTGTGACTTATAGCAAAATTCCAACCCGAAAGACGTGGGTAGCTAGTTGGACGTTCTACGTACTATGGCGGAACAGTTTCATCCCGTGTTGAAGCTGTTCGTCCTCTCGGATGTAGAGCTCACTGGTTCCAGAATTGGCGGCGGAGCCTACGGCAGAGTCGAGGAAGTGATTGTTCCAGTAGGAGCTACCGCCAAAACCATATACAACTTCCTGCAAGAAGGCGACGGGACTGCTGCGGAACCGCCTAAAGCTTCCGTCGAGTTCGTTAGGGAATGTCAGCTTATGACCACAATCCGCCATCCAAATATTGTTCAATTTCTTGGCGTTACCTTCTTCCCGGGCTCGCGACTGCCCGCTCTGGTCATGGAGTTACTACTAACAAGTCTTCATGACTTGTTGGCTCCGGTTGCGCCTCCCCCAGTCGGCTGCCCCTCACCACTATCTTCTTTCTGCATGGCTCTGAAGTGTTCCGTATTGCAGAACGTTTGTCACGGCCTGGCTTAGCTACCTCCATGAACGATCGCCCCCTATTACTCACCGCGACTTGTCTGCAAGGAACGTTCTCCTTACCCACGAGCTGGTAGCCAAGATAGCAGACCTGGGTGTAGCTCGCAACTTACCTAGTGTAAATACCGCAGCCACCATGACAAAGGGACCTGGGGCCATAGCATACATGCCACCAGAAGCTTTCGCACCCACTCAGTCAAGTAAACGAAAAATCAAAATACGACGCCAGCATTGATCTTTTGGAGTAGTTACCATTTTCACAATCGGCGAAACCTTCCCCTGTGATCCACTGGAGCCAAACTACGTTGATGAAAAGAGTGGCTTGCTAGTGGCACGTACTGAGCTACAGCGAGTCACTACATGGAACATGTGAACGATCGACTCCATGAATGTGGCCAAGTTCGCGAGGACCACCCTGTCATTAGGCTAATCCAGCAATGCCTCCATAATCTGCCAGCCAGGAGGCCAGGTATTTGCTACGCGATTCGTCTGCTGGAGGAAGCCAGAGCTACTTTGAGACGTGAGGATTGCGAAAGGAACAAGGTGCAACTGTTTAGAGCTCTTCAAACCCAACCAAGAAACAAAGTAATTAATCACAAAATTATGTGAGTATATAGCAGTATATTCAAAGTGTGTGTAACATTTGCAGAATTTTGAGCATGTTTTTCATGAGGCCACGAGAGAGAACTCAAATCTCCAGTCACTTTTACAACAGCTACAGACCAGGATTCACATGAAGGACTGTGAGCTCATTGATGCCCAGGAGGAACTGAGGATGAAGGTATAATAGCTATTGTCATAAGTATAATTATCATTATAACTGTATTGCAGGAAGAACACGTGCTATTTTGGAAAGGAAAGGCTAGCGTTACAACAACAGCTGGTACAAAGAGAAGCAGAGATGACGAGGGCAGTGGATACCATTAGGAAAGGACCAACAGATTCAGGAAATACGATGTCAAGTTAGCCAATGAGGGGGGTCTGTGTTGTGTGTATGCAACTGCTGTTGCTGAATACAGGAGACTGAGTTAGTTGTGGCCATGAAAAGGGAGCTAACATGGACTCATCTGCAACTAAGACAGGAAGGTTAATATATCTGGTATAAACTACAAGATAGTGTACGATTTCAGTCGATAGATGATATGTGTGCTGCAGGAAGAAAAAGAACAAAACTTCAAGCAAGTAACACGTTAGTCACTGACTTACAACATCACATGATGAAGGTCACTAGTAGGAGACAGGATGTTTTTGTGCAGAATTCCTTGCATGGTGTGCCCACATAATTAGTATAGGCTGTTTTGACGAGCAGCATTAGCTTGACCACAGGACTGAAGCTGGTAGCTAGCACCTCAGACTTGCACAGACTGCCCCTACTAACTAAGGACACCTGAAGTATCGATATTATTAGCTGCTGCAACTTTTCTTCAGTTGACAAATAGACTTGTACAACACGTGAAGTATATAGGTATTCCCCTTCTCCATAAATTAGGCAGCTACCAGCCTAAAATAGCATCACAGTGTACTTTAGTTTCCACCAGTTCCGTTTTCCCTCTTATAAATAAACATTCTTACCTTGTCTGTTGTGCTGCAGCTTGCATCTTATAGGTGCCATGTCCATGGTCCTGGCCTGACGTCAGCAACAGTTAACCACCCAACGCACGTCACAGTCGAAGTGACTGATTCATTTGGTAGACCGTTCTCCCTACCACTGGCTGTCTCTGCAAAATTGGAGCACATGTCAAATTTACCACACGGTCCTTGCAGTAGCACTGTAAGTGTATCAATCACATCGCCTTCCAAGTATGAAGTGGTGTACACTGCCATTAATCGAGGCCTACATAAAATAGTTCTTCTGGTCAACGAGAAGGAAATTAGTGGAAGCCCCTTCATTTTGACCGTCTTCCCCGACCCAATGCAGTTAGGCTGCCCGGTGAGAGTTTTACCACATTTAAATGGACCTTATGGCATTACCTTCAATAGTCACAACGAGATGGTAGTCAGTGAATGTGATGGTCATAGATTGTCTGTGTTTCACATCGGTGGAAAGAAAATTCGAACCCTTGGAACATATGGCCAAAATCCAGATGAGATGGTGGCACCTAAGGGAATAGCAACTGATAGCACAGCCAATGTCTATGTTAGCAGTCTGGACAAACTTCAAAAGTTTTCGGTAACTGGTGAACTGATCAAATGTATTGGCAAAACGGGGAAGAAAGAGGGGGAGTTTGCTGGTCCACGCGGAGTAACACTGCACAACAGTCTTGTGTATGTGTGCGATCGTAGCAACCACCGGATTCAGAGTATTGACTCCGACTACTTTTGTCGAATTGTGCGTGGGCGTCCTAGTCCAGAGCGGAGCGTGGGCAGCGGCGATGGGGCTGCGGTGAAGAATATAAAGACGACAGGACTCGGCATGAGGTAGGAGCGAGAGTTGGGCGAGGACAACAGAATAATGGGCCGAGTGCAAAGACGGTCGCCAAACACACAGCGCGAGTTAAGGCATGCGGGGAGGTAGAAGAGTCCCTGAATGACGGGGAAGTGAACGGGGTACGGAAGCGGGAGCTAGTTTCGTTGGACGCTAATACCCTGCCTTTCGGGCGCGAAAACGCGTACTGTAGTGGGGAGATTGCCTGATCGAAGTGAGTTACTGGTAGGAGTAGCAAGTATGGACAGCCAGTGGTACACATTTATGTTCTGGCGAGTTTGGTCATTGGGAAGGAGCGAGGGTATTCCTAACTGCAGCGGTGACACCATCAGGAATTTCAGTGATTAGCCGACCAATAAGTTGTATACGTCTCTATGAATCGCTTGTGATGACTGCATTGTTGTTTACGAGACCTCAGATCACTTTGTTACGTCGTTCGGAAGGTCTAGTGACAAAGAGGGTGAATTTGATGATCCGTATTACATAACATCATGCACAGATGGTTTCATATATTACGTATGTGACTGTGGTAATGACAGAGTTCAAGTGTTCTGACTATTTTTTTGTGAAACACAAAGCTATACTCATTATTAGACATATTATTTTCTGTTGTAATAACACTGCAATTTATGTGTTGTATTCACGTGTAAAAAAACTTGTGCAATGATTCATAGAAAATAATCGACGGAGTAGAAAAAACATGTCGGTCCGTGTGATGATAATTATGAAATCTAGCCAGTGAATAATAATATAGCAATAAATAATATCGTTCTTTTAACATAGTGGCAGAAAATGCGGGTAACCCTCGCTGTGAATGAGCGCGTCGCCGGCCCTGGGATTTCTCCCTACGCCCACTACAGTTATGAGTGAAAAGTGTTCCTTGTAGTAATTATAGTGGATAGCTTTTTGCCATGCTTTTCACCATACGAGTGGGAGACCGTCACAAGAACAATGAAAAGCACTGAAGTACAATAAGCTAACTCTCTGTAGGAACTACTGATTGTGATCGACAGTGCAACTACCGGAGCTCATGGAGAGGTCTGGGTTCAACCAAATGACCAACTGATCAGACCATACGGATTGTGTCTCAGAGCCATTTCATCTGCTAATCACAGTTCAGGGAAAGTTTTCACATGTTTTGGGCCTGTAAGTGATTACTTTGTTCATGCAGTTTTCATGTTCTTTTCGCACTCCCATTTCATTTGCCCTTCTCTTGTCCCTTTCTCTTCCTGTATCTCATTTCTCCCACTCCACCTTGCTTGTTTTACTTACTCACTACCCTTCTTTCTCTTTCTCTCCTCCTCACCTGCCATTCCCTCTCTCTCTCTCTCTCTCTCTCTCTCTCTCTCTCTCGTTCAGTCTCACCCGCCACAAGGCAGACCTCCTCCTCCCTGGCTCCATCAAAACCTCACTCTACGACAACATCATTCTCTATTAGGAAGACACACTCACCTCGTGTCATCATAGATGTATGGGGCTACGATAGATATATTATATAGTAACGGAAAGAAATTACTTCAAGGGAATCAGGTTCTTCACCTGCAAACCCAAGTTTGGTGAGTTTGTGACGGGGTGTTCATGGAGTGGGGAACCAAGGGAGCAAATTTTAAACTTTGATCAGTGGTATATAAATATTTGGGGGCAAGGAAGCAAGGGGGCAAATTGTACAATCAGTGGTAATTTTTCAGAATGAAAAGCACTAAAGTGCAAACCCTAGTTGTTTCCCTTCGTTTTCTAGTTTGCTAGACCTTGCGCAAGCATGTAGTGCAAATATACTTCCCCTTACTTTCCTTATGCCTCATTTGCCTAAAGTTTGCAACTGTATATACTCACGTCATATAATCCTATAATGCTCCACAGGTAGGAGAGAGAGTCAGTATTGAAGGCAACGGGACCGAAACTCTAAGATACGTCGGCAGTGTCAAGTTTGCTCCTGGGTAATCACGTACTTCAGCGTACATTTCACGTAATCGGCAGAAAATTTGTCGCCTTACTGTTATACGAGGCAACTTTGATAAAACTATACTCACTCGCACATTACACTACAATTGTACATCATTGATTTTGGCTGGGTGTTATATATGTAGCTACACACTAAATTGATTGTGTCCATTTATCTGACTAACATACTAACTTCTGCGGGTGCTTTATCGTGTTTTGCTGGTTCCTGTAAACTAGATCTATGGTTATTTCCACATCTGACTACTAATCCATATATAAGAAACTGAAAGTTAGTGTTGTTTGTGTGTCAGTGATGGGAGTGGAGTTGGACAGTGGAGTTGGACAGTGTCAGTGGGGGAGGAGACAACTTGGGGTCTCTGGAGTGAGATACTTCAACTGTAGACCCGCCCACGGGGTATTCCTACCTACTTCCAAGGTCAAAGGTCAGCTGAGTGCATTCAGTAAAAAAAAGTGCAGCAACTGTGTCGTAGCACGTTTAACCCTACACTGTAACTGTATATCTTTCTCCAGACTCTCTCCTCCAGCACTAGCAGCAACCTCCAGTGGCTTTTCTACTAACAGTGGCCCAACTACTGATTCCACTGACTTCCCAGCTCACTCCTCCTCCTCCTCCCCCTCCCCTCAGTCCCTCTCCTCCCGTCAACAAACGAAGACTCAACACCTCCAACACCACAACGTCCTGCTTTCATGGTCAAAACTGGAAGTACTGAAGCTCACACAGCTACTTTACAACAAGCACATAAAACAATTTACTGTTGAACTTGTAAAAAAAGGCCACCAGTAAAACATAGCATTCTACCAACCCCTTGTTCTGGAGTATATATCAAACTATAAGTGTGTTTTCTTTTCTGTTTCATACATTTTTAATTTGCATGCATTCAGAACTGGATCTCGAGCCAAGCAGCCTCGCACAGTCCATCCTCCTCCCTCTGCTCCCTCCCCAACGTCACTCAGGACTCAGTCAGGAGACCGGGATGAGTGTCTTTGTGACTGGAGCTGATTTTGGGGTCGTGCGGTTCATCGGAACTACCCAGTTTGCTAAGGGGGTGTGGCTTGGGATCGAACTACGGATATATATATTATTGACGCACGAAGCAAGCCTATCTAGTCGTCGGAATGCAAGGATTTTTCTATATAATTATTATTATGTGAAAGCCGTGTGTCCAGAGCCCAATAAGAATTTATTATAATACGATATTATAATACGAGGCGTTAATACCTTATACATGAAATTCTGCTTATTTGAGCAGATATATACCCATGGCATCCAAACCGTTTAAAACACTGCAGTGCAAAACGTACCCCTGCATGTCCCTTTAACTCCTTCAACTCTTTCACTCCCTCTCCTCTGCAGATGGAAAGAACGATGGGTCGGTGAAGGGACATCGCTACTTTCGCTGCAAGCCTTCTCACGGACTGTTTGTCCAACCAGAGAAAGCCACTCATCGAGGAATCAACTGCTCCAAGATCCTCCATAGCTCCTGCCTTGAGAACAACTCTTAACATTGTTTATGTATATGATGTCATCATTATGTAATGTATGTTGTCAACTATCGTCCAACAAATTAAGTGCGGGTGTACTATGCGGTGCACGGTGGCCCACATAAATAATATCGATTTGCATATCAACCGCACATAATGTATAGAATTCCATGGGGGGACAATTTTTCTGCCACGGAAGTTCCCGGGGAACAGCTTTTGGGGGGGACCAATTTTCGTGTGACAAGCCCAGTGCTAATATGCATAGTGGCTTTACCGCTTGTTTTCACGGCATATCTCTCGAACGCAGTCGTTTCAGGAAAATCGCCCTTTTGTTTTTCAGGCTCGCGTAATTCTGAAGCCGCTGGTATCACTAATGGGCCGCCTCGCAGCCTGTAGTGCCAGAATAAGCTTCGACACACACACAGACAGACAAACAAACCAACTACTGCAACCCTTGCTGCTTACAATTACACAAGTGGAAAAATCATTTCTTCAAAATGAAAGGGGGATATAGGGATGGCTTGAAGCACCAAAAAGGAAGAAACAAGGGGTCATTACACAGCAAAGATGCACAAAGCTACATGACACCATCCCTATATCTTTGTCTCATATTAAACTTTACTTCAAGGTAAACTGTTGGCAGAATGGAAAATGACGGAGAAGGCAGCGGGCTC